TCTGTATTTCAGACTGACAAACTCCTCACCACGCAGCATTGGAAACGCTAAGGTGTTTACGTTGTTAATTCATCGATGGTGAAGTTGAACAAGAGTGGAGAGAACGGATATGCTTGTCAGTCACCAACTTTCGCAGGTAGACCTATAGAGAGCTCAACGTGTGCTCTCATCCGCCTTGAAATACGAATATAGGGATCGGATGTTCACAATCTTCTATGGCATAACCTGTAGAGCAAGTGTGGTTAGCAACATTGGCCTGTCCACAGAAGCGAATGGTCGGTTGGAGCCAAGGAACCCTAAGATTGTGGATAGTCTGTAGATGTGTGGTTCCAATACGTGTGGCATGTGATGACGTCGACGAAGCCTCTACCTGGTTGAAATCCTGCTTGATGCTCAAGGGTCAGTGATTGACGTGCCGCTGTGTGATGAATCCGTCACTCCAGAATACTTTAATACAAAGGGAGTTATGATACTTTGATCCTCCGATCCCTGCACCCTGGGATTCCTTAAGGTTTGATCACGGGTGTCCACGTAGCATAGCGAGGGTGAGCTGACTGCAGCAAGTATACAGCGAAATTTTGCTTAATGATGTATCTATTTAAGAATCCGACTAGTCACAGCAGCAGATTTAACTTACAGCTTTAAGGCGTTTAGGGCACGTATTACGTATATCCAGCCACCCACTCGAGCAAACGTTGTTTTCTGTTCCAAATGACCGTTGGCAAGAGGTTCACGGTGGACGAGCCATGACGTGGTACCGTGAAGTAAACTAGAATAGAGCCAGACGGAGTACTGTGGGATTTTCACGCTTTTCTGGCTGGATTCCATGTTATCGTGTTCTCGTACATTTGATGGTCCTGCAGGGCATTGCACACAAGCGGATTCATTGGCACACACCGTCATCTTGTAGCCGGACTGCTCAACTGAACTTCGCTCGTTGTTGTGCCCTGGGCTGGGTGAGATTCGTAAAGGGCGTATGGTCCATACCCACTGATGTCGCCTTAAGGCGACGTGATGGTCAGATGCATTAATTTTAGTGCTTTTTGAAGGTTCATTCTAGTTTGTCAGCTATAACACGTGCCAAGATTAAATTAGTTCCAGGTGCTACAGTTTCGGGTACCGGAAAATGGGGAGCGTGGGTGAGACAGCCAAATATGGAGGACGGTGAATGACCAGTCGGTTCTGCAAACTTGGTAGCTACGCACTGAAGTCGCCGCAGGGGCACCCCCGACTAAGTTCCTCCCCCATCCCCTTATTTCTCCTTACTCTGAGGTTTTCAGTCAAGCATCAGTGCTTAGCCACTGGTGTTGTGTTGTCAGTGATCAGAATGGTGACGCACTGAAGGCTATAATTTTAATGCACGAGCTGCACCGTGATTGAGTCATGCCTGCCATTGTCACCAACCATTGGTGAGTTCATTGTTCGGGTCCCAATCCAGGGAGGTGACAGTTGGTGACCCGAATCAGTTTGCTGGTTAGCGTTTTCGTACTTCGTTGCCAGGTCATTCAACGTCCATTTCTCAGTCGCTTCCACTCAGCACCAGGTAGAGAGAAAAGAGTTGCGCGAAGCGGACGGTCCTCCGGAATGCAGAGTACCTATCCTAACTGGCGTAACTTATCGAGCGTGGCTTGTTTGTCCTAAACCCATCTGATCTGTCTCAGCATTGTCAGTCCGATGTTCCCACCCGACCTTTCAATGATTCGAAGACACCGATGGTCAAACACCAACAGTTTTCGCACTTCTCGTGAGCATAGGGGCCACGTTTCTGATCCCTGAAGCAGTATCGATGACGTGGCCACACTGTGCACTATGCCCTCGGACGTACTGACGTCACCCAGCGCCGGAGGTGTCTGAGGTTTGAAGAGCTACCCTTGCCTTCCTAATTCGAGAACCATGGTCGTCTATACCCAGTCCACCGGATTATACAGCTATCCAGATAAACAAATTTATCCATCACATCAATTGACTCGTCTAAAAACATGAAGTCTGAGTTTGATCCCGCCCAGTCCTGTAAAGTGAAATAATCGTTCATCTATAACACCTTCTCGGTCATCATCGACAGCATAACATCAGTATTCAACACCGACGCTTCACTGCCGTGCAACGTTTTCGGTACCTAGCTGCCATGCCACCCGAAGGAAACAGAAAGTCTGAGCTAATCCAAGTTGTCTAAGCGCATACCAAACCGCGTAGCCGAACTGTTTAGGATGTTTAAAAGACCTTGCACCTTTGAATGATGTGAAACTAAGACAGCAATATCGTCTGCATTCTGAGTGTCTGTGGACAAAAGTTCCGGCAGCATTTGGATCTCTGAAGTTTCAGAGACAGGCAGATAAGTTCCAAACAGCACAACAGTAACAGAGCTGAAGAGGAATGGTGAGCTTGTGTTACACTACTCGGTGTCACTAACTCAGGCAAAGGCTTGCTGTGTGCTTGTACGCGCCCGAAGCGGTTCGCATGCAGCGCCCTCATAAGGCATATAAATCTAGGAGAAGAATCTTTGATCGCCAGTCGACGTAAAATTCCAGACAATCGATAGAGTCAAAGGTAGCTATCAGGGTGATAGTGTTCAAGACCTTCTTTCAAGGTAAAGGCATCGTCAATATATCCTCCGCCAGGGTGGAGATCAGCTTGATTCTCGCGAGTTCTACTCTCCTGATAGTCGATCAACCTGCACAAAATAGCGTCAGTGTTGTAACTGTATTTTCCTCAGCTTAGTTCTCGGTCTGAGCCTCCCAAGCTAGCGTTCACGTCAAAACAAACACCAAAGGTGCACAAGGTCTATTAACGCCCAAAACGAAATCGGGAACAGTTGTACAGCGCTTCGTATATATAGCGTAAGCGGCTATAACTTTCTGGAATTTCTGACGCGTTCTGGAGCTCCATTGGCAACCGGCATTCGGCCAATACTGGGTCATGATTGGCTGTTGGGTCCAGATTTTTGACCAATCAGATCTCGCCTTGATGCCGGACCGGCAAGCGTCCCGAATTTTGGGCCAACCTCGAGCGGGCCAGGCTTCTCGGCCGTAGCAGCGCCTAAAGACGTGCGGTATAGTGGGATCCGCGTGGATTCCTGCCTAACAGTCAGAGAGCTCTTTGAATGCGATGGCTACCAGATTGGTGCCACGTTGGCTTTCGTAAGACGTTTTTGCGCCCTTTTCAAATATTGGGATCACGGTCCATTCCACCGGCATTCCGTTTTCACTCCAGATTTATCCTATTAGGATTGTCTGACTGCTTACCGTGGCTTGAAAACCTTCGAAAAGTACGAGTGCAGGTCATCGGGGCGCTGTGCCTTGTCGTATTGGCGGCCCACTTTTCAAGACAACGGTCTTGCTACTAAATTTCGGTTCCGTCTCTTTCGCATATTGTCTCAATCAGATTCGCGGTTGCTTCAACCCTGGCTGAAGGTAGTTTGGTTGAGGTACCCAACCTTGAGCCTTTGACTCAAAATTCGGAACTACAGGCAACGCGAGATTGTATGGTTTTGTTCGGGGACGCTGACTCCAGCCCATGAGTCGAAAGCCCGAACAGTCAGATAGCAGTTTTTGGAAGTCTCCTGAGGGACCTTTCATGGAGCCAATGACCCAACAGTCTGACCCACCTACCTACATGGAGCTGGCCTGGCCCACGGGCGCAGGGGGTATTGCATGGCTGTGTGCCTACCAGTGTGGCTGTTTATATCTGGTAGTCTGACCAGCACCAGACTGGTTTTAGGAACACTTCGACTGTATTGGATGGTGCGCAGATGGTCACCGTCAGTTGCTGGGGGACCGTCGTTTGTGGTTTTCGAGGCCAACCTTTCCCAACCTTTGATTCCTTGGAGGACAGCAGCGTCGCTGCTTTTATGAACATAGACCTGCTAGTTTTCTGTCGCCGCTTTCATACTACCACCGCCCAGGATAGTACCACTTTACCTCCAAGTGGCCTCCTAATGACTTCTCGCAGCACAAGAACCCGTTCTTTGTGGGACTGCTCCCCGTTGGCCTTCCTGGCATAGTTGAGCCTAATGGAACTCGGAGTGATGGAAGCAGAGAGGTGGCCAACCCTTGACCTGGCAGAGGGGTATGAAAGAAATCACGGAAAGTTTGGGTGCCGTCTGTGCTACTCACCTTCCAGGATGAGGATCGCGTGATCCTCATTGCTTTCGGTCAGAAACGACGCAAGATATGGCTGCCAACCAATGTCAGTGGCGATCTTTTTGTTACTTTCTATCCGGATTGCCTGAATGTATGTTCTGAGGTGTAGGCTCCTCGGAATGATTGCAGTAAGCTGTGTCGTGGGTGCTAGCTGAGTGATTTAGGAGCTTGATGCAATTTATTCTGTCACGATGATAGCCTAGTTACTTGAGTGGGAAGACCTCAAGGTAGAAGACAAAGGACACCAGATGAAGAGTGGCTATATTGCAGATGAACCAATGGAAGAAAGAGCGCTGCGGTTCAGTTGGCTACAACAGAGAGAAAATGAAATTCCAGTGAAATATTACACAGGGTAGAATTGTTCGTCAGGACCTGGCCGTCCTAACACAGGATGGGGACCGCATGATCCTCACTGCGTTCGGTTAGAAACGATGCAAGATATGGCTGCCAACCGATGTCAGTGGCGATCATGTTGTCAGTTTCTATCCAGATTTGCTGAATGTGTGTTTGGAGGTGTAGGCTCCTCGGAATGATTTCAGGAAGCCAGCACTAAATCCCTTCACCGTCCACCTTTATTCATTTCTTCACAATAAGGCTTTCAAATGAGTCATGGTTGTGCGGCATCGAAGCATCGGTGTTGAACACTGACGTATGCTGTCGATGGTCATGAAAGGAACTAAATTCTAGCCATAGTAGCATTTAGTATTATAGCAGTACTCAAGCCCGACTGGCACATTTTGCAATCAATGATAAATGTTGAATTTCTCCCGTCTAAGTATCATCTTTTCCCGATTTCAGTCATGATTGATACTCAACCCTCACGTTCGGATGCGAATGAACGTACGCGAGGCCTTCTCAAGTATGTCCACTTCTTCCATGATGCTATCTGTTCAGAGCGGTTTCCGATTCCATCAAGCGCCTCACCTCGATATACAACAGCGGAAAGGCGACCAAAACGGTATTCAGTTACGAGGCCTATGGTTACCGATTGCGGTATGTGTGGTTTTGCATTTCCTTTTGATGTATGCAATTTCTAGCTTAAAAGAGGCTCTACAGAAATTGATGTTTTTGTCTCCAACTCATGCCAGGAGAGCAGAAGAGATGATTTGGCGCAAGGTTTTTTATGAACCTTTACATCTTTATAAAGTATATGTTAAGGTGAGTCAGCCAATATTTGGTGCTGTAATATGTGGCTTCCCTCAAGAACAATGACCGAGCAGATCGTGTGACTGACTTTGAGTTGGCCCTAAAAATGCACCTTACAAGTGGAATCGGATTCTACCAGTCGCTACTATTGCAACTCCAGTCTGAGTGGCTTGATTCGACTCGTGGAAACTTGCTTGCCTGGTTGCCAGTACCCTTTCATATCCCGACGTATGACGGTAACTGTTGCCCTATCCTGAAATTCCATTTGTTTCAGAAAGCATTTATGAATTTGACGTCAAACATGTAATTTCGTCGTTTGGCGAAAAGATGGTTCAGAAATGTCTTATGTATATTGGGGATTTGTGTGAGTCCTACCATCCCCGGAAATAACTAACTCCTGTACTACTATAGTTCGTTATCTACTCGAGTTTAATGAAAGCGTTGGAAAACCTCTAGCTTATGCGTACTACAACGCAGCACTCAATTTCGACCCTGGTATGGGTAAGTATCATTGATCTTTCGGTACCATCAGCTTCTGTTTGGACGGTAAGATTTCTTTCCGATGTTGTGTCCCTGTTGGTTTTCGTCAGCTGCCGTTTCGGTGTGTTTTGTCCTTTTTGAGTTGAACAGTGTGCGTGTGTGCATTGAGCCTTTAAACCATGCTCTGTCTGCCTCGCTCTTGATGTCTATATATATTATAGACATCAAGAGCGAGGCAGACAGAGCATGGTTTAAATGCTCAATGCACACACGCACACTGTTCAACTCAAACAGGACATACATATACAAATATATTATATATATACATATATATTAGAGCTCGAGATAGCCTAGTGGTTAAGGCTGAAGGTCCGTGGTTCGAACTCAACCTCAGCACTTTGACTGCTGTTTTCCAGGCTTGGGCACCCTGACAGTATATCAGCCCTACTGCTTCTCTCGCGTGGTATGGCAGCCGTGCACCGAAAGGGTGTTATAGCTGAACGATTATTATTATTGTTATTATTATCCACTCACATGCATATATCTACAGCGTTTTACTGGGAACCTGATGAACGGACGAAAGCATTCTCGTCCATGATCTCTCGCTTAGTTACCCCTGTAGTGGGGAAGGATTACCCTATTTTTAACCTGTGAACAAGTTTATAGACATGTGTCCAGTTCCATGTATAGTGTGTGCCAGGGTAGAGTGAAGACAGTGCTTCAGATAAACAGGCTTCACCACGGTGGGTTGTCGCTCAGATTCACCTCTCACACCTTGGTCGTCCAAGTGCTAGCGAGCATTCGGTCGCTTTCTCCTAACAGATGAGTTATAGGTAATCTTAAGTCGCTCCTTGATCGATGTCAAGTGCGTAAATGATACAGCCATTCTCAGCTTGGATACTAAGGGGCTGCAAGTCCTTCGTAATCAAATTAGCTAATTGTGTAGTGTGGTGTTCACACCCGCAGCTGAACCCATTACCTCTTGAGGAGCTGGTGACATTCGGATAGTCTTTTTCAGGTAGGCAAAGCGCGAAGTCGTTCCTCGTTTGGAGGGTGAGTATCGACGGCTGACTTTTGGTCAGATGTTCATAAAGGTTACCAACAGCGCGCCAAAGGCCGTTCATAACAAATACTAGTCACTGATTTCCATTTTCTGCCACAGTCTTTCATATTCTGCAGCGCTGTCCGTGAGTTTCTCACAAATACTACCATTATGAACACTCCGAAAGTTTCTTGTTCAAATGAGATAGTCCATAGATAGTTTACTTAGTCTCAAAAAGGGGATCGTCAGGCATGACAAAGTCAACTAATGTTAATGCGGTTAGGAACGATATAACCATTCAGCTGTACCACCCTTTCGGTGCCTAGCTGCCATGCCACCCGGAAGAAGCACGAGGGCCGGGATACTGCCGGGTTACCCAAGTCTAGACACGGGACATCGAGAGGCAGAGGTCGTGTTCAAACCACAACCAATTGATGTTCTAACCACGTGAGCCACCTCGCCCCGTAGAATCACTATATAACTTCTTGATCCTTGTTAGAGATCATCGGTGATGAGAATTTCACGAACTTCGAGAGAGATCTGAACCCACAACATTTTGGATGGACTTCAACTGTCAAGATCCTGCTGCGGGTGATTAATCATTAATATGTTCGACTCGCACTTAGTTTGTATATGGTGCCGCTCGTCCTCTGATCGCGCGGTGCATGTTGGCTGGCCCTTCGAGTGAGAACCCTTCATTGGAAGGTTTGAACTGCTTTCTATTCCATGCTGACTTTGAGCAGAATACGGAATTCACCACTCACATTCTCCCCACTCTTCACGATTGCCCAGTCTTTTCTATGAAAATAGATTTTACCACTGAAGTAAATTTCTGGAGCCTGCTGGCTGTATTCTGGCCGCATGTTACTTCACCACTTAAACTGTTGCCTCGGGAGTTGAAACTCATGTTCTTCCATCACGCGAAATCTCTTTACGGGAGCGTTGACTGATTTGCTCTGTTGTGAACTGCGAAACGATACATCTGGTTGTCGTCTCGTGGTAGCTTTTTATGATAAAGGGCCTGAATTTGTCATTCTCTCAACTCACCGCTCTGTATGCACGACTCCCTTATTTTGCTTTACGTGAACAGTAAAAGTAATACTTCTTAACAAAGATCTTTCTGAAGCAATGCCATCAAACTTATGGGCACTTGAGTATGAATGGCTCAGTGTGCGATCTTTTCAAAATGAAAACACCAAAGAAAAGCCTTATACTTCTGTCTCGCGCGACTTCCTATTTTGGGAGATTACTGTGCATGAGCAAACGCTCGGACGGACGGAAACTAGACAATATCAGGTTGTCGATTGCCCATAGGAGGTCCAGCTGGAAAATGTGGTTCCCCTCTAAAATTTAGAAGAAAACCTGCTGATGGTACCAGAAACTTTCTCCGTAGATTAAGATGCTGAAACATATCAAACAGAAGTTTACCCTTTTTCACTATTTGCGGGGGGGGGGGCTTGTGCACATTTATTTGGACAGCCAAAGTGTCAGTAAGTTTTAATTTGGAACGTTACCCCTTCTTGTTAGAGTTGCATTAAATGCATCACAAACTTTCTCACTGCTAGGTAGTTTCAGTTCATTCAGTGCAGCGCAAGCCTATGTTGAATAAACAGACTTTGTTATCAGCATTTTTCGGCAAATCAGAAATGACTGGAGTCTGTGGTTGTGCGTGCAAACGGTATCAGGGTGTTGGCGACAAACGTCCCTGGACCACTCCAGTTTGCAGGCACGAACATACAAGCTGCGACTTAAGGCATAAAGCAGATTTGCACATAGATGTCGTCTCACGTGGTGACACGATGAAGGTTGTTTGAATTTGGTACACAGAACAATTGCAAATGGGCCACAAGTATACACGTTCCTCAACACCTCTTGGACATCCAGTCTCACTGTTTGGCCCCTCTGTCGTCTGTCATCTTGTTGTTGGAGAAACACCAGTCTGCTTCTTGGTTCGGACCCTAGCTCACGCAGCGCTGACAACCACTATCAAGGTAGAAGCAGCTTTTTACTGTTTGTTGGTTATGGTTGTGGATGACACCATCAACAATAGGAAAAGGGGTATTTGATAGCATGCTTGCTAGCCTTGCTGCTGAATCGGTCCTGTGTAGCTGATTACTACTAGTGACCATATCAATAATCTGTCCCACTCACATACGCTGTCTGTTTCCATGTAGGTCTACCTCATAATCAGCTCGGAATCTTGGATGTGGGACGATGCTATGGTCTGAACGCCATTTTTCACTATTTGCACTGCCTTTGTGCCAGAGTTCCTTTTGAGGGCGCCAGACGTAATTTACTAACAGTTTTGACAAAAAACGAAATTCGCTACCGGAAGCTGTTCGGCGACAAACCCATATTTGGATTGTATGCACGTCGTCCAAATCGATACAGGTAAGTTAATATGTTCAGACTGCGGGTTTTCTTATTCCAGATACAGACCTGGGGAGTCTATTAACTGATCTTAGACTGTCTCTTAGATCTGGTTTTAATGCCTGGTTCTGTTAATTTCTCTATCGTATGGCCTAGTTTTTAACTATTACCGCAGATATGGTACCCTCTATTTCGGTCCCAAATACAATCTAATCTAAAGGAACCGTTATTCTTATTGACAGAAGAAGCATATATGTGAAACATTGAGACACCTCGTTGTCATGTCAAGTCACTTGAGCAAAATCAGAAATGAATGAACCTAATGATCGCCCAACAGGAAGCTGTACGTTTCTAAACTCCCCCAGATAATCCTAATGGAAAGGTCCCTGATTTTGGTTCACTGCTTCTCCATTGAATGGTATGAAGGTTGTGTTGACCTCACCCCCTTGGAACGTTTCCTGACCTCCTCGATATCTCTTGTTCTGGGCCACTCAGAATTTAGCAGGAGAAGTGGCATTATTCGTTGCGGGATGTTAGCCCAGTGGGCAGTTGAATTGCTGTTACTCGTGTCCAAACGGTCACATTCACTTATGAGGATAAAATAGTCCTTTGTTTGCTAACTTGTGCGTATGACCGACAAATGATGTCTCTTTTTAGACAATGGAGCCCCAGTTAGTCTCAGTTCTAGACCCACTTTTTTGGAGCACACTAATCTAAACTTCTATTCACTTCCTTTTTAGACCGAAAGACTTCCGAAAGACTATCACAAAATTCATTTTTCTGATTCAGTGCTTTCTGACGCAGAAGGCCGAGTAAGTCATATTCATTTGTTAACGGTTATGTGAAATCATGGTGCAGTGTTTTTCAGCAGTTGCGGGGTCCCTTTCCACGATCCAGTTACAACAAAATCAGCAGTGTCCTGATTAATCTACCTGAAACGACCTGTCAAAAGGCTTTTTTTTGAAAGATGGTCTCAGTAGAGGGGGAAAATTGCACAAAGTTCATTTTACTCTTCGTAGTCCCAACACACTAGAAGAATGCTACGTATATTATGAATAATTGTCGTCCGTCATCCCGATCTTGTCGGTGGTTTGCTACTACGTGACGATGAATCACCCACCTGCTCTCAATAGGTCATTCTATCAAACAACCGAAAATTTGATGATTTTGGGTTGAGTGAGACGGGGGCTGTGATCGTAGTCAACGTCATTAACAGCAAAACGTCAGTCTTCAACACTGATGCTTTGCTACAGTATACCCATAATTTATTGTAGAAGGCCTTGTGAAAAACAATAAAAGTGGATGCGGAAGGAACTTTGTGCTAGACGTAGGCTTCTGAAAACTCTTAGTCAGCCTGCATCCGGTTCCGCCTTTCTTGAGGCTCATCGATCAGGTGCAGTCTCCGATTTTCCATCAAGCTTATGTTTTACTTGAACCCAAATTGCACGGAATTAGCGAAATACACGTATTCAATTCGGTTTTGACGGGAGACCAACTGGAACCAGCTGAATCTTTCTTTTGTGATGTTTTTAAGCGACTGGATGTGCTGCACCAGGCCGCCTCGAGTTTCATTTGGCACGATATTCGACATATTGTGATACATTGTATAGATTTAATACACTACTCATAACGTTGCTCAAAACATCAATTAGCAGCCATCTGGCAGCGGTCCCAACCAATGGGGACCACACCCCTCCATCCTGGAAGATGGATCGTACCGACAGTACGCAGGCTATTCCTGATCTGTTTGCCAGGTCAAAGGTTGATCACCTCTTCACTTGCATCACTCTGAACTGGGGACGGAAAACAACGTTTGTTTCGACAAACTATGGTTCGACATGTGCAGTCCAGGACCTCAGGCTTTGGTGTTGACTGATATGACTGATGACTCACTTTATGATTATCTCGTTGCGGATTCGTCTGCACGAGCTAAAACGATTGTCGAAAACCTGAAAACGTCTCAGTTCGGCTGCTCGCTTCTCACAATCACACAACAAAACAGTCTGTTCCGTAGCCTTATATACATGTCCATTAGATTCAGGGATATGCTCTAAGCTGCCGCGGGTGTCTCAAATCAGCGAACACGATCCGAGGCATACAGATTCGTTCCTTGACCTCATTTGTCACACTACAATTGGAAATTACATTTCAAACAGTCCACAACTTTGAGTACTTAGATTCTAATTTGCGTGTTCAGTGACTGCATGTCCAGAATCATTGATTTGCAATTTATTTCCTTGATCACAAAATTGAATAGGGATGCAGAGAGAGAGGACATCCCTTGGTACCTTTGTATACGGAAGCTTGTGGTGAGCTGTCCATATACTCTCACACATTCGAAAGTCTGTGAATGCAAAGAACATATTGCTTCGACAAAATTCCAGGTCATTTGCTACCGTGTTAAGTAGAGTAGACTGGTGAACTGTGTCGATTGCGCTTTGGAGGCCCAGGAATACTTAAATTGTGGGTCATTTATACGAACCGTTTCGTTCTAGCACTTGACAGGGTGCGAAGATTTGGCCAGCGCAATCTCTACCGGGTCATAATCTCGCTTGTTGCTTTCAAGTCGGTGCTTCATGTTGTACCTTGAACCGACGAAGGACAAGGGACGCCAACATTCTTGTTGCGAATGGCGTCAGCGTGATCTCTCTGTGATTGCCGCACCATTCTTTGAAAATGGGCACTATTACCGATTCTTCCCGGGCTGTTTGGGACAGTCTCCGTTTCCTAAAAATACGATGTCATGTTGACGGAAGATTCTTTGCCCTCCTGTAAGGCTTTGTGGAAGTTGTTGTTACTCTGTTGACCTGAGGTTTTGCTTTTGTTGTGAAGAAGGTGTTCACGTCTATCTATCTGTGTTCTCATTACTTTTCAAAGTGGATTTCGCCTAGTGTGCTTCATTCGCGGTGAAAACTCGCAGTGTCTTGTGTGACCAACCAGAACTCGAGATTCGGTTTCCATCACAGGCTAAATTAGTTCCATGGTAGAATTTCAGTATATTTTGCAACTCAAGCTTCATTCACCTTTATATCGATATCTGTTTTTTCCCGTTTGCAGTGGATTCACAGCACACCATTCGTACGTGTTTCAGGACACTCTTTTAGAGCTACACCTTATGCTCAACCTCAGTTCGGCTCTAACATTGGAACCCGATAGATGGTTAGATAAGATTGGACTGGATGATCAATCTTCTGTAGATGACGTGGAACTCAGGGGAGAAAGTTCGGTTTTCTCCGAGCAGCTAACTGGCCCTATTTTCGTTCGTCTACTGATGATAGCGCTGCTGACGGCCAATCTCAAGCTGTTGGAACAAACTCGGGCAACTAGACCGGAAGAAGACACTGCCGGCGACCTATCATCGACTCAGAATTCATCTGAGGTGCCGGTACCAGACAGCCCTACTGAATCAGTGCAGTCAGAGACAAGCAGTGATAAAGTGAGCTGGTCTTCATCCTGTGTCTTTTGGAGATTGTGCTTTAAAGATTGACGTGGCGCACCTCTGTTCCATATGAATGTTTATGATGTTTTCGGAAATGAGCATATGCTGCGAGAGTTGGATAGTTGGAAAGTAAATACACTCAATCGCATTACAGGTTTTAGAGTTGGTCAATGAGAACAGATAGTTAAATTCATGTACTTAACTGTGTCCACTTGCACTTTCAGGTGGTGCGGACTGACGAGTTTCCAAATATTTACGGCTTGTCTGAGCCGTTCGGGCCACTATCCTTTGTGCTTCAGCTGAGCGAATTATTCATGTCTCACCTCGCCACGCAACTGAACCAACACCTGGTTACCCGAGAGTTGCGTGGCAGTTGCGCTTTTGATAGTTCTATCAAAGACCATCGACCTGCTCCACCTGATGCTCCAGGTCAACCGACGGATTCTGGAAAACTGGTCGCAGGTGAAGGTAAATCTTTTGTTAGCTGTGTGTTCCCCATTTTATGCGGCTCCTTAGCGAAATGCCAAAGAAATCAGTGCGTCTTTTCAGTCGTTTTAGGTTACGGTCCTGCCCGACTACAAAAGAATATCAAAATTTGCATCTCTGGAAAGGGTGATCGTTATGAACAGAGATTGTTACTCTAACATGTATCCACACTTTTTGTGAATACATCTAGTATGATGTTACCTAAGGACTACCTTACTACTGCCTGATGTTTTGGCGGTTTATTTAAATAACATAACCATCAAAAAGTGCACCTGTCCCGTTGGCGAATGTCGTAAGTAAGGTATTTAGTTGGGTCTTGCATTGACGCCTCTAGAATTCGCATATGAGTATATCCCGTCAAGTAGATGTAGGTTTTTTTCGAGTTTCTTCATTGCTACGACGTTTGGCTGGTAAACGTCTGGCTGTAAATACGTGGTGTAGCGGTACTGAGACAACTGTTGGTTAAGTTCTTTCCGTTCATAAGAGACTTTTGTTCGGGAAATTTATAAAAAAGAACATGACAGTTTCGCTGACTTTCATTCGCGAGTAGAGCGTTTCGCCGCCAAAGAAACGTTTTGAAGAGGATAACCCTTGCAAGATGATAGTCTCCTCCTGTACCAGAATAGGAACAAACCTATACTTACGGAGTACCACCCAACGTGTCCGCTTGAATAAAACTCACCAGCGCCATTGTCCTCAGTCCGCCCTAGTTGTCCAAACCAAAATAATACATGACGAGTGATTGTAACTTACATCATTTGTCGGACTTGTTTTGTTATGTTAGAATGACTTCTCTGATGTGTACTCCATGGAAGTGTTTTATGAACTACCGAAGTGATCATGATTGTGGGTCTAGATAAGGCAGAACGGAGATGTCCAGAGTTAGAGTACGCTCTGTTTGTGAGGCGTTGTCAACTCTCGTGCCGAGTTTGGAACAGAAGATGCCAGTGAATTAAGGACTACATTAACAAGGGCGAAATGGATCATGTGCAGAAGCGCTTTATTTTGGAACCGCAGGGGTCATTTAATAGTTTTTCCGCCTTGAAGTTAAATCCCGATCAGTTTCATGTGCACTAACAGTACTTCCATCTAATCGCGGTAGATTTATTTTGAATTACTGTATTAACCTATACTAGTTAAAAAAGAACTTTCATACGTTTGTTTTATTTCCTCCTCGGCTGCGGTACTTCGAATCAAGAATCATCTTGACGGTTTGCGATTTATATACTGTAGGCCCCTCCGATGCTCTGTTTGCTTCCTCTTGAAAGCTAATTTTTCTGCCAACTTGTCAACATGGTCCTCTCGACTTGACTTGGCATAACCTGACGGCCAGCAGCATGGAACCCCTATGGGTCGTCCATGACGGAACACCTTTGCTTTGTTTCTCCGTATGGCGTTGATGTGACCGTGTTTCCAGTTAGGTAACCGAGCAATAAGCTTACAGTAAAATTCACTACCCGGTGGGATAAGCAATGCACGTCGCTGTATCCATTGCAACTTTGTTACCCATGCTTGGCTTGCCCATTTTAGAAGTGGCTCCAACCAAGTTTAGACTAGACGAGAATGGGCGCACAGTTTTGTGACCTGTACGTTTTTACAGTTTTCTTGATGTCCAAAAAATGTTACGAAACGAACTAGCGTATGTAACAGACTGGAAGGTATGTGCTCAAGTCCAGAAAATTACATGGGAGTTGTGCTTCTGAAAACTGGTCTTTCCTGGACCGAGAGGAGAATGACCTCATAACACTGTAATGTTTGCAATATTTGCAATTTTTTGCAACATTCTCACCAGGATAGTAGTTGTGATAAGGTGTCTCTGTAGAGTGAAGAATGATTTACCTCTGCAAATACCCTGGGGTGTTCTGGGACTTTTTAGGCATTGAAGCGAAGCACGATACCTGTTTCACTTTTATTGAGTATCATCGAATGAATTTAATAGGTTCAAAATGCTCCGGGGCCCACACAGTTAGTTTCAGTGCCAGAGGCTGTGTGGTCTGGCTGTGGTCTTCCCCAGGCGTTTTCCTTAGAGCGAGAGGACTCACCGATAAAACAGATTATAATCATTTCTAAAAGTCGAGTTTCACCTCTAGTGTATGTTGCAGGAACCAGCGCATGGTAATCATGTTCAAGCTCTATATTCAACTTCAGCACCACGCGGCTGCTATCCAGTCCATTTTATTGCTCACAAGCATTGTACTTGTCGTTCAATACAGTTCACCACTCTGGTTCTTGGCTGATTCGTTGAAATGGCTAAATCATGCTACCTTCAGTTCGTTGATTTTTTTAGCTGGTTATCCTGCACTAGTTGTGTGTCGTCTGCTGTCGCTTCAGTTCCATCTAATACGATTACGGAAAATGACATATGTGCAGCCAGCCACACTCTAGAAGCAGAGGCCTATCCAATCTCTCAATATTTAGTAGTCCCGCCCTTTCAGTGAAGCTGGGAATTGAACGGCCTTGCATTAAAGAGTGTGGCACTTATACGGGAACGTCGTCTAACGTGCTAAACCACGTTCGTTGGTGGACGTTCCACTAGGACACGAAATTGCGTTAGCCGTGTAAATGGCCAACGACTTCCAGAAACCACTTAGTGCTCGGCACAATCGACCTGCTGTTCCTCCAGGGCTAAGCAGCACCTAGGAGACACGGGTGACCAAACACCGTAAGTCGCCAGCAGTTGCCCTATCGCTTTGCTGATTCACCGAACTTTATAACTGTCCAGCCAGATGAACTAGCCCGTTACGCTGATCAAACCAAGTATTGCATCACTGTGTGAAGCGTAGGTCAGTTGGTGCGGCCGAATCAGCGTACAAAAGTGATTTGAATTTCCGAAGGATCTGATTCGTTCGGGGCGATATCACAAGTGTATTCAATATCTATAGGTGAACATTGTGCGAACATTTTGGGTCCTGCTCTGTCGTAGGAAGGTGTTGTAGATTTGGTCACATGGCTAATACTGAGTTTCTCGCGGAGGAGCGATACCGGACAGCTATAGACATGGTGGATTCAGGCGACAGCTTGCTCCAATCTCACTGGACGTATAAATGTTTCACAATACCAATGCAGTGTCATCAGTGAATTTGATACTAAGCAAAGTTTATGCAAGCTTTGTGCAGCTTCATTCAGTAACAGATCTTTTTCTCTTCAAGGTCCTTGTAATGAAATTCCTGACCGGGATGTGAATCTTGCCGAAAGACAGCAACCTCAAACGTTGGAGTTGGGGAACTCAACGGACTCTTCGGATGGTGGTGGTGGTTTAGTACGTAGGCGAATCCGCAAAGTCCCCGGTGGCGACTCTACGGAGAGGGATTTAGAAGGAACGGATGGTGAAGAAGAGGATGTCGAGGAGGAAGAGGAGGAGGAGGAGGATGAAATGGATTACAGCGAGGAGGCTGATTTGAGTGCAGATCTTTGGAGTTCCGATGATTCCAGTCCTTTTCATTCTCAGGTGAGCGACAGGTCCGTTTCGTTTGACCCTCGATTATCGCCAAATGCGTCACCTGGCTGTTGGTCCGTTCGTTATCTGATCAACAACGCACCAAGATTCCGACATACTGGCAAAACTCTCCACACTGTTGTCAGATACACACAACCCTTTAGACCCAATGATATAGCTTTTTGGCATCACAACTGTCATACGTGATTCTGGCCTTTGTGGTTTGTTCACTGACTTCGTCCACAGCTACTACAGCTTCATAACCGCGAGTACCTCTCCCTGTGTTTTAACTGGCAAATGTCCGCATCCCCGTAAACAAATTCACTGTTACTTAATTTCACTTCTGCCCCATCAGACGGTTTGTCCTGAAGGGAACGATTTTGCCTTTTGTTTAAAGTACTAAACGGAGCAGTACGGTACCGACCGTTATCATAGGAAGCAGCCATAAACCGCTTACCTTAAGTTCTGACTGTCAGAGTTTCGTCAGCTGACGATATATCAAACGGAAGCGAAAGGCGCAACGTGGTGATTGGTTCCTTCCCTTCTAAGGGAAGCCATCATTTAGGTGGGGGATATTTAGCCTGTCTTTGAGGGGCACGCCCTAAGTTGCGAGTGGTGGACAAATCTCTTGTTTATTCTACAGCGAGTTAACTTTTTTGATGATACCCCTCCTGGAGATTATGAAGGGTGAATCCAATTATGAAGGTGGATGTTTTCATGTTAAGTGAGTAAGGAGTTGAGATACCTTTGCACTGGACTCAGTAGCGCCGGGACAAATAGCCCTCTGGGCGCGTTACTGAGCCGTAGTCGTCAGCATCCCTAAGGTGCAATATGTGCAAAATGCAAGGTGCCAACCACTACTGGAGAGGTAGTCTGTCTAAAGGATATTTGTGTTTGTATATTACATTTCTGCTCTTCTATACTTTTGTGTCTGATCTTGTTTTGGGGAAATGTGTCAGTATGGTCATATTGCTCATTTTGCAGGACGACGTAGACTCCTCCGCTCTTTCCTCAGATGAGAATGGTGAGTTCCGTTCAGACCATCGATTGAGACGGGGTCGATTAGGCAGTGGAGTTACAAAACGCTCAGCGCGTTCTGGTCAACCAGTGGAACTCGAGGGCAAGGCGGACACAACCCACGGGAAGACACACTCGGAAGCTGTTTGTGGAGCTAATGTGCGGTTGAGAAGAAAGGAACAGAGGACTGACCTTTTGGACCCTATCACTGAAGAAGAAGCTCCGCTGAGGGATCGACGACCTAAAGCTGAAGATAGTGCTGGTTGGTGCCTTCTGTGACTGTTATTTCTGTTCCTCGGGTTGGGGGTATCAAATTGTGTTCTCTGGTTTGATCAGTTTTGGCCTGACTGTTCTTCCATTAGCTGGTATGTACTATAGGCACAGGTATGGGCTTCAAGTCGTTATATATGACTTGGGGCAACGTCCGTGGTAGAGCAAGTTTCCGATTACTGAGGACTTGCCCGTCCAAGTCCTGCATGAGGTCGTTTGTATTCCCGTGTAGGTTAGTCCCTGGTCAATTCTTGGCAGAAATTCCAAATTGTTTAATCTCGAGGAGTGTCTCCTAGCGTAAAAACTACTAGAACGATCGATAACAATTCCTTGTACTATTGACCATAATCCAACTGCTTCTATCGTTTTATTGCAGATAAAAAACCTATCGATTCGGATACTGACGCGTCAGACACATCAGGGTAGGTCCTCGTGAATTGTTTCCGAAAATCGGTTACCATTTACCAAGTATAATTTGTCCATTCGAAATTTCCTTTTTTTTATTCCATTTGATAGCCTGGTGTCTACTACCTGTCGAACTGGGCGACGCGGAGCACGCTATACCAACCGTAAAATGAACTTGTCAGAACCGGATTGCTATGACCCAATATGGCATCAGGACGCCACAGATAGGGGGTGTATTGCAGACACCCCAATAGCCCCCTACGATGAGGAATTCAGCGCGGAACCTGAAGATTTGTCCATGGAACTGGGCAAGCGCGTATCATTAATCAGTCGTTTGTATCTGCTGGCATCAGTGAAGGTCATGTTGGACTGGATACAGACTGACTGCTTTAGACCGTTACGCTTTCTTCCTCACCAAAATTCCAGTCCAAAGCATACTGTCATGCAGTATGTTATCCAGAGGTGGTGTACTCAGCTGACTTTGTTACTGAACCAATTCTATCCATTGTTTGAACAAATACTCGTGAATTCGTCTACGAATTCCCTGACAAATTCCGGTTAGTGAATTTTGAATTGCGCTGTGTTCGATAAGCTTATTTTGTAGCTTGTTTTGTCTCGCTAACTTGCACGTGAATCTCCATTTTCTTCAAAACGAAGTAGAAGTGCCTAGCTAAATCCTGTCTGTCGTGCTAAGCTGGAACTGCGTTCGGCACAGTCTCTGAAAATGCAGAACCAGTACAACTGACGGTCACACGGTCACAATCAGACGTGCTGCTCAGATATGTTTATTTCAGAGCCCTAGAGTTCTTACCTGTACGATCTGCGGGTTCGGTTTTTCTCTTTATTATCATTACTATCACCTTTTATTACCCTTTACTACCACACTCCCCCATTAGCCATTGTTTGGCAATCAAGCACCACGTTGATTAACCTAGAAATGTGCCAGAGATCCGTTTCTTCTCATTCCTTTTATGAAGAGCGTAATATGGCCGGAGAATTGACGAAACTATGCAAGCACAAACAGATTGGCAGATGATTGGGCCGTATTTACATACTAACTAGCGAAAATTCGTGCTGTCGGACCCTAAGAGCCGAGCTCACTGCCTACCAAATTGTTATCTCTTTAGGAGATCAAGCAGCATCAGTTCGTTTCCTTGACTCAGACTCGAATCGGGTGTTGTTATCTTCAGGTGAAACCGGTCCTTCATCTGAACACTCGACCGTTTCGAGATGTAGATGGTGACATTCTATGTTAGGTAATTTGGAACCTTCCTTCTCACTTGGAATAGTATTCGTGTGACGTGAAACCGTGAGATTTTTGGTAAAGCCGGGAGTCAAAATTAGTTGCAGTTATTCAAACAAGGACGCATTCGGTATCCTAGATGCCTGTTCATCCTTGGTATGAAAATAGAAAGGCTGATTGAGATGGGATTGAAAGGCAGTTTTGTAGGTTGGAGATCGAAGGAGTTCTGTACGACAGCAAGGCCTAACAACTTGGAAGCCGTAGTGATGAGGGTAATCGGGACAGCAACAGCATGGTGGGTTGGCATCCGTTTTCGGATGCTAACTACACTATCCCGACCACCATTGATAGAGCCACATGACATTCGCATGGCGTCGCTTCTCCAGCCTACTGAATCCCACGTACACGGTGTAAACCGGGTGAAATATGGTCGGACGGTGAACGCGGGGTAGTGTCAATATCACCAGTATGCTCAACTACAGGTCCATAATGCTCAATCTAAGTGTGTGTCAATGAACGGATGAGCCCCACAATACACATGAAGGTTCATCGGGTACCTCGCACTACTTATGAGGCGCATTCTGCACGCGCATGTGACCAGCTAGTTCTCGCCATTATTAACCTTGTTCAGTAAAACGATGGTCATAGAAGGTCATTTCTAGCATCGTTGTAGGCCTAAAACTTCGGGTATATCCAGAGTATCAAGGCGAGGATTTCCGGACTCTAATGGGAACAGCCCAGTGACTGACGGTATAATGTAGAGGATGGAGCATAAGTTCTCGTGTGGAAGCTACTCAAGGCCCACTATATAGGTTTGGGCAGCTCGTTTGCTTTTTGTGGGCTGTTTGACAGCTTTGTCGCGGTCGGATGAGGCGGAATGAAGTAAATACATCTTGTATGAGTATTGGCCTTGCTCTGATGCCTCATTGTTTTTTTCTGTCGCCTGTATCAGCGATCATTTATTACGTTCCAATAAGCCATTCTTTTTTCTATTGATTCAGACCCCAATGATCGAAACCCGCTCAGTCCAAACAACCCACTGGTTCAGTTCATGTCTGCTTTTGGCATGCATGCTCTTGAGGACAGTCTTCGTGCGCCCTCCAACCAGAACAAGTTGTTTCATTCGACCGTAGCCTCATGCAACCACTCCCGTATGAGTTCGCAGACATGTCCACTACCAGAGGATTGGCTTCTTCGGGGCCTCCCTTCTCTGGACGCAGCGCATCAGCACATTGACTTTAACCAAGCTTTCTCAACAACACCATTCACCGGACTTGACGAGGTATGTTTTTTTCACCTACTTGTGATTTTCTTTAATTCTCCAAAGAAATGTTCGTAATGCCTTTGTGGTGCGGCTAAAATGTATAGAATTTGGGTTAACTAATATAAACATGGCGTTCTTCGTCACTTGATTCACTCACCTACAGAATGCTCGGGGACTGTGTAAGACTGCCAAAATAAAGGCTACAGTTCCCCATGGTCCAGAGTTGAGTAGGATTCAGTCTAACTACTGCACTTAATTTTTCTACCGCTTTGTTTTACATCCGAGTGGTCCGGCAACGATGTGCCTGGAGAGAATGACGGCTGACTTATTCGGTTCGATTATCCGTTAACAAGACTTATATTCACCGACGTTCATTATTTTAGGTTCCAGTGTATGAGGTGATACGGAGACAAATATATTGTAGCTGCTGTTACTAGAGATATTTGTGCTCATTCTGTAGTAAGCTGGCGAAACCTAACCCGAGGACTAGTCACTGCTGAGCGTTATGTACCATAGGTACATATGTATATACCATATGGGTATCGGGTAATGCAGCTGTGGGCTTGGTGTGACTTAGTGGTTATGGTGCGAAATCACTGACCGGAAGGTCCGTGGTCCGAACCCAACTCCTACATCTCGACTAGCATTGTCTAGGCTTGGGCTGTATCACAGCCCTCGTGCTTACTTCAAGTAGCAAAGCAGCCAGGTTACCACGGTTTTCGAAAATCTACGGGGCAGTGGAGGTCCGTGGTCGAACCCAACTCCTACATCTCGACTAGCATTGTCTAGGCTTGGGCTGTATCACAGCCCTCGTGCTTACTTCAAGTAGCAAAGCAGCCAGGTTACCACGGTTTTCGAAAATCTACGGGGCAGTGGAAAAGCTTGCAAAATCAAGTCTGCAGCTGGAGTTCTTTGAACAAACTTGCAACAGAGCATTGCCTGAAGTAACCTGCAGGCCGTCATGCAGGCTAAAGTGCGTTAATCCGTGTCACTGTAACAGTGGAAATAAAGTTAAATAGATGCTAAAAGGCACTGGCTTATTTGAGGTCAGACAAATTTTAACACAAGCGAAAGCGGTTATCAATCTGTTGGGCCTGAGTATGCACGCCATTCACCCTCAGGTGCGAGCTTAGAATCGGAACATCAATCCTCTCTCGTTACTAATAAAACATCAGTAACATACTTAATATGGCATCCCAGCAGGTCACCAGTCCTTTCGCTCGCAAGGGTCCACTTTTCCCCTGCTAACAGATGGTTAACCATAATTCCCCAATAATTTTTTCGTTACGTTTCTCTTCATTAAAATTTACGAATTTGGTTCCTTTATCGGTGGATTCCATCTTCTCTTCAGGGAGTGATACGCGCACTATGCATGGTTTCCGCTGGACATCATCTGGTTCACCATGCAGCAGAGTTGGGTGTTCATTTTACCTTCGAACCATCACGAACTCCACCCTTCCAATCTTTCACACCTGGTGAAAAAACTTTGGCACATCCAAAGCCTGAAGTCCACAACCTAGGCTGGTCAACTGTCCCTCATCCTTCGCGTAGACGCCGTGCGCGATATTCCGGTGGACCCGTTTACTCGCGAGGTGGAAATCGACGTGCAGATTTCGTTTCTCCAAGGCAGGGACGTGCACGATGGAACGCAAAGGGATCGTACAAACGTGGTGGTCATTCAATTGCAAAGTACTCAACGAGGCCAGAGAGGTTTGAGCAAGGTTGGAACGAAGATACTGTACAATCCAGACGTTCTTCCCGTCGTCACAGTGCAGCATTGCCTGGTGATCCAATCGATGGCCCTGGGAATATGCCCGGAAATTCTCACCATCTGCCAGAAAACCGCAGTCGAACGGAATCGGAGGAGCGAATCGATGTTAGCGAACTGCGCAAACAGTCTTCTAACAGCAGCCTTCCCGTTGAGGCGGTGAGAGATGCCAATACGGATGGAGAGGAGGTTGCGTGTACTGTTGACGGCCCATCCGAATTCTCGGGGAGTCACTCCCATGTACGTTACAGTAGGCTTTGCTGCGATATTGTGTTCCTTCAAACTCTTTTTTACTCATATATTTGTAATGTACTACTCATAAGGTTGCTGAAAATCCATCGACAGCCCACGACCGGTTCCGCCCTTCTTGGGGCTCATCAGGTAGGCGCAGTCCCCGGGTTTCCGTCAACCCTATGTTCTACTTGAAACCAAATTGCACGAAACTAGCGAATATACACTCATCTGCAAACTAATTTGGTTCTTTCGAGAGACTCACCTGGAACCCAGCTGAATCTCTCGTTTATGATGTTTGTGATGATGATTGTGAATGGTTTGATATTCTGGGAACAAGCCAACGACCACCATCTACGATACCTGAGCTACCAACATTTACCTCTATAGAAAATAGTTATGATTCCTGAAGATCTCAGGTTCTTCGGCCGAAGTGGAAGTTGGGACGTAAAGTGTCGTAATATTCGTCACAAGATGATCAATGTGCCCCCTTCCAGGATGGAATTCTCTTTCGTTAGGGCAACTATGTGCATTTCTTGCCGCCACAAAGCGTCTTCCTAGAAGCCTTTTGAAACATTCGCAACATTGAGTGAGTCAGTGTCTGTCTTATGACCTCCCTGAGGAAATGGCAATAGAATCCAGTCACTTCAGTCGGCTGGAAATAGTTACTACTTACACACAGATCGGAATAATCGGCGAACAGAGTCCAGCAGCTTGGTTGTGCTTTTACGAGCGTAACCGTCTTAGAGGTCAACGGCTTTGACAGCGCTTTTTGATTTTCCCATAATCTCTGCTCGGGATCCACTATTGTTGTACTCATAGTGAGCATCACAAACAGACAGCACAGAATTAACTAAATTTCGTAAAGTTAGAACTGGACACTCACTTCAGGACGGATTACATTTGAACAGAGGGAAACATGGCTCGGTGGTTAGATCGCGAATTTACTGACCGGAAGGTCCTTGGTTAAAATCCGACCTCTGCCTCCCGACTTCCTCTGTCTAGGCTTGGACAGCTTGGCAGTATCCCTCGTGCTTCCTTCTGGTGGCATGGCATTCAGGCACCGAAAGGGTGTTACAGCCGAACGATTTTTTTATCTTTACGGTATTTGGACCATATATACTTTGGGACTCACTGTATAATTCATCGGGCCTAACGGAACCTATCTTATAGCATTCCGGTAGTTTATTTGTGCGTCTCCAATAACTTGTCGTTTTACCCGTGTTTGAGCACAAAAACAATTGTGGAATGGTCTCTTCACTTTCTTAGGATGACGCAGAATCCCGCAAGACTCAACTGATGCGGGATATGGCACGCTTGAGGCTTCTTAACGAAGTCGACCAGCTGGCTCGCCAGTGCAGGACCCGATCACCTCGAACGCACCGATCAGCTTCCCAAACGGATAGGAACGTCTCATCTGTCCCAACCACTGCTCCAGACGATTCACGTCCTACTCAGCTAGCTGATCAACTGAGCTATGAAGTGAGCCAGCTTTTCGTGTCACCCTACCTGGTGGTTGACGCATTTTGTTTGGCAAGTCATCTTCCAGCTGTAAAACAGCTGGTGAACTCTGGCTCATTCGTCGTGATTATCCCAGTTGCAGGTGAGTGCCCAGACAAGTAACCCCACCATATCTCCATTTTTTGACAAGAGGGGGAAGGGTGGCAGCACCTTCTTCCTTTTCTTGCAATACGGTGAACAACATGAGCGGAGAGACATCAAACAGTAGCAGGCGAGATTGATATGGGATGAAGTGTTCTCACAGTCGTTCGAGATATCAGTCCCGTTTTACAGACTGTTCACATAGCCATATAAACTTACGAACTCATACTATATGCGGAGTAGTAGGATTTCGTGATCGAATCAGACTTGTAAAAATCATCTTAATTGCTTTTTCAGGATGCACATAGTTAGCCACTTGTATTTCGCGCCCTGTACGTCAGTCCACAAAACATGGCTTCGGGCGAATCAATTATATTTTAGTTACTTTCTAGTGTGTCTATGGGCTGCGGTTCACCATCTGTCAGATGCTTTGCCATGCTCCCAATATTCTGGGTCTACCTGGGTTGGTAGTACTTTACCTTAGTGACCAACAAAAACATCGGTTATACCCATTGCACAGAAGCTTCGCCGCTCGACCTCGTCCGCCTCCATCCATATCCATCGATTAACGTACAGTGATTTGACCATGTGACTGCTCTGCTGTTTGTGCATATGGAGTGTTTCGTTGTCCCTATTGCAGTTATTTCGCACTTGGACTACCTCAAGAAGACAATGGCTACAGCTCGCGTGGCTATCCGCTATTTAGAACATGAAACACACTCTGGTAACCGGTGAGTGAGATTTTAGTTAACCTGGAATTTGGGCGTCTTCATGAATTCAATGCAACAAGTTTGTAGATGGGTTGTCTTCCATCCGTTCCGTAGCACTTACACTCTGCACTTGTTTGCACTAATGGTCCGGATACGGACGACGATAGTCATCGCGCTAACCTGCAAGTCAAAATTACACAAATTTATACTAACCACAGCTCCAACGAATTTCAGACTTCAGATAGCCGTTCTCCGAAGATGCCCCCTTAAACTTAGCATTGTCACGGCAGGCTCGCAATTGTAATGCCTTGTCAGTTAAGCTTGACCTCAAGAAGGATGTGGCTTCGATTGTCCTGCACTAATACGGTGGCTGTCTAGTGTTGTTTTTGTTTCAATAGTCTTTGTGATACTTGCTTCACCATAAGGCAGTATCTCTTCCCAGCTAAACTAAGCACGACTTTCAGCTGCTTTATTTCTCTGTTGCAGATTTCTTCGCCTACAACGACCTGAAGAACAACCAAAGGAACCTGTTCAGACACTGCGGGTCATCCCTGCCAGGAGCAGTGTGGCCTCGAATTTGGTGGAGTTAGAATCAGAGGAAGACTCAACCGGTGACAGTGCCCGAAGCGCAAGTCCGCGAGTGGTTAAGCGATGGCTTAGCATTCTGGGATGTGCCACTTACTTCTCAGAGGTACGGAGATGTATGTATTAGTTTGTTTTTCGGTGCTTATTCCCAGTTCTATGCTTGTCTACGCCTGCGAGTAAAGTACTAGCATCCCTAAATCAATAGTAAAGTACAAACAACCGCTATAAAGTCCGGCAATGTCTAACGAACTCAATAAAGCCGTATTGTCTGGTGTTACGCTGATCCGTGGTAGTAATACCGGTAGAGACATCCCTACATGGGTATCGTGCCCTTCCAGTCATGGGTACGGACAGTCGGAGCTTAGACTGATACAAAAGGACTAGGAGGAACAGCAGATGGGACAGTAAGAACCACAGATCTGTGTCTGTAAAACGTTGCACCCCAAAAAACATTACAAGGGACAATAATGAGAAACTTCGCTAATGATTGTTAATACAAAGCCTACAGTCAGAATGGATTGAAAACCAAAGTGATTAGAAGATGTACATCCGAATGCAGCTTTTGACACGACCGTACACATGGAAAGGCTGTTGTGTATACTGAACGCTCATTGACCGACAGCCTTGACAGTTCAGATGATCTGCAGTCTCAGTCGACCTGGTTCTGGCATGTTAAGCCAATGTGTCTGCGAAACTCAGTTATGCAGTAAACTTTGCAGGTTCGCGTTTTCAGAGAAACCCAAAGAACAACCCCATACTGTCAATAGCCAAGCGCTAGGATGGATTCGAACATTTGACTGTTTGTTTGAATTGGAACGCTGGCTTATTAGCTTGAGGGAGTAATAAGAAATGTAAGCCAATCTATCAGTTAGAGACTATTACAGGACCTCTTCGCAAGACTGTTGCGAAAGACTCAGATTTTGATGATTCTCATTGTTTCTACCGAGTGAGACACTCTTTTGAAAACCTCCGCTTCAGGGACACCTCGGAAAGGGAAAATTCTGCAATCCAGTTTTTTGGTAAAAGGTAGGCTCGCCCTGCACACAGGACCCTCTAGTGATGATCTGTTGCCTTGGCTTGATTTCGTAGGAAGGACCGAGTTTTATTCATACAAAATACGCCAGAACATGATACGCAATAATTAGTTTGGCTAAACACACCACTATTCGGATAATGCACCCATCCGCATACTAACTTCATTTTGATGAGTGACTCACTTGGTACCCAGCTTAGTTTCTCGTTTATGGTGATCTTCAACCGAATGTGCCGCACCAGGCTGCCTTAGGTTTCAATTGGTACCATATTCGATATATCCCTATACTCTGTATATACGTCATACACTATTAGCAGGGTTGCTGAAAACTCTTCGACAGTTTGCGATCGGTCTCGCCTACCGAATGCGTTGCACAAAGCCGCCTTATGTTTCAGTTAGTGTGGTAATACATTGCCACCATTCGAAGGGTTTTTAGCATCTGTGAGTGGTATGTTGCATCCAGACAACTAGTTTGAACAAATCCCGGCTAGTGATACAAATTTCGAACTTCCCCATGAATGAACAGTGTAAAGAAAACTTCACAAAGACAGTCCAGACGCTGTGTCAGCTAGAATCATCACGAAGAAGCATCATTTTTAAGTCAAAGACGTGATCGGATCCTGGAAATTACAAGAATCGCACTTTTATCCAGTCGACCACAACTCAAGACACAGACACAGAACAGTCGGGCCTAAAGTGAACCATTCAAAAGGTGATTCGTTCTGCTTACCATTACGTGAACGGAGAAGTAGCGTAGATTGGAATAATTATGGGCATGTGCTGAGTTTGACGGCCCTAACTCGCGCCCAGCAGGTATGTCACTGTACTTGCTTCCTGGTTGCCAATGTCCACTTCGTGACTTCATTAAGTCCTCTCCAGGAGTACAACTTAGAGAGGGTTGTTAAACGTTTGGGAGAAACGTGCAAATCACTAGTCTAAATCGTTCCATTAATTGGTTTGGATTCCTGCGAGGAATCGACCGATGCGCATTTCACTTTCTTAAATGGGTTTTAGCGTGGAATTCTGTGTGGCGTTCTGGATGCATTCCACCACTAATTGAAAGATGTATAATTTGAGTCATTTGCATTCCCCTCATAATAGTGTGCGGGACGTAACGTTTTAGTGCATTTTAAATCGCCCTTAGTCTATGAAAGCTGATAGACTCGACCAGATCGTCCGTTAGCGCTTAAGTTCCAAGGTTAGCAGATCCTTCTAAACGCGGGACATGCCTCCGGTCACAATGCTGATAGAAAGTTCCTTCAGGATATATCAGTATCTAGATCAAACAGGAACACAGGGAGAAGTGCTCCTTGCTGGAGGGTTGTGGTCAAAAATCGCATTTTCTTATTAAAAACCATGGAGGCAGTGAGCTGTTCTGTTCAGACTACCAGCGTTTCTCTATTTACGGAAGCAGCAATGTTTGACTCGAGGAAAGATGAGTTAGTATAGGTAGGCCGTAAGAATCGTTCAGCTCTATCAACCTTTCGGTACCTAGCTGCTATACCACCGAAGGAAGCCTGAGGGTTGAGGTACTAACAGGTTGCCCAAGTATAGGCGGGAAGTCGAGAGGCAGAGGTCGGGGTTGAACCACGGACCTTCCGGTCAGTAAATTGATACTCCAACCACTGAGTCATCTATCCCCACCGTAAAGATCGAGCGCCCAGTTTTTTCCCTCCGACGAACTATCTAATAAGCAACTATTCATCGGAAAAACGATAAAGTGCGGCCATGAACGCATAGTTGTGCGCAGCAGCATCCGGTTGATATGCCTTATTCTCTGTCCCCTCGGGCTAAGCTGGTTGGTCACAGCGTTGAACCACGACCTTCCGGTCAGTAAATTGATACTCCAACCACTGAGTCATCTATCCCCACCGTAAAGATCGAGCGCCCAGTTTTTTCCCTCCGACGAACTATCTAATAAGCAACTATTCATCGGAAAAACGATAAAGTGCGGCCATGAACGCATAGTTGTGCGCAGCAGCATCCGGTTGATATGCCTTATTCTCTGTCCCCTCGGGCTAAGCTGGTTGGTCACAGCTAAGTGGGTCAGGCCACTGGTTCGCTGGTCTCGGGCGGGGTCCTATAAGAAGGCCCTTATATCAGCTACCTCGTGTGGCAGACCGGCAATGTCGCTGGACAAATGTGCACACACTTCTGCACTGTTATGAGTCCGGCTTTGTACCTCAAATAAACTCCTTCGGCATGTGGTCAGCTCTTTGCCCTATTCACGTCCTTCCCCAATAATACTCCATCTCACCAGTGGACGCTGATGAATAAACCTATTGCCTACTGCCTGGCCGAATTCCTTGATGGAACTCACTGATAAACCCAAGGGATCATTTCTATAAGGACGCCTTATTCACCGGTTAACTTGAACTCTGCCATCAGTGGCTATATCTTGTCACGCAACTTACTTTCAGTGGTGACGTGAATTACTCACGGGTTTCCAATTCTTCTTGTATATAGCTGAAAAGTTTGGAGCAAACAAACGCACCTAGCCAAAAACCCGAGACCACCGAAGATGCGGAGAAACAGCAATCTGTTCCGGCTATCCATCGGAATTCACCGACTGTTACAACCCTGGCGCACAACCCGGCATCATGCTATGATCTCTTATCTCTGAGTCACGCTCCACCGGAATTAGACTTGAACTCGGAACCCAGAACGGCCTTGGTTACTATTTTGATTGGTTCTCGAGACACACAACCTCAGGACACAATTGTACCGCTGGAATTCCTTAGACTCGTCCACAAGTCCGGTAAGTATATGCCTTTGGACTTGAGTGTAACTTATATCAGTCTGTTACGCGCTCGAAATTTTAATCGTTGACCAACACCGGTATTTTATGTGACACGCTGATACGAGGAAATGGGAAATTCGTTCGTCGTTATCATTCTTCAGTCGACGTCCAACTTATTCTGCTTGTTCCCCGTTCAAATTAGCTTGGAAATACTACAAAGCCTGCGCATACTCCTTAGGTACGGGCGAGATGGCCCAAATGGTTAGAGCGCGAATTTACTGGCCGGAAGGTCCGTGGTTCGAACCCGACCTCTGCCTCTCGACTTCCCCTGTCTAAGCTTGGGCATCCTCGCAGTATGCTAGCCCTCGTACCACCGGGTGGCATCGCGGCCAGGCACCACAGCCGAACGATTATACTTCTCAGGTTTCCTCGATTGATAAGCCCATTCATTCTACTACTGTGCTACCTTACGTTTTGCACAGCGTTCAACCGGAGATTCTCCATATATTAGAGGTGTAGGTGGCCTTGATTATTCTGTACACCTTTCGGGAAAGGGCAAGATGAACCACGTCGCAACTTCCAAGACGTTCACGTAAAACACTACGTTTGAGGTCATGGATACAATCGAGTCGGTTAGTTTTGCCGTTGAACCACTGACAGATGCCCAACCTGTTCAGTAACCGGAGGCTGTGGTTTTTTCCTCGTTCTACTTGTCCGTTTGTTTGCAATTCACATTGTTCCCTTCATTTCAGGAGTGCGTATTGAACTAATTCGTGACTTTTTGGTGCGTTGGCGAAAAAGGCGTACCACACAACCACGGCCGTTTTCAGAAGAAGAGGCATAGCCTCAAGAAAGAGACAGGAAATCGGAGCATAATTGCTATATTCTGTCTTCATCTATGGTTTTTGATCAGTTATATTTTACAATCCTGCTCCCTATGTTTTCTCTCATTTGATGTATTTCAGTGTGGTCTTCCATCCAACTAGCTTTTATCGTAACGCTGAATTTGATGTACAAATGACATCACAATTGAATAGACCGGGTAAATCCAAAGGCAACGCGATTGACACGAACAAACAGTGCAGCAACCAGAGGATGCTTCAGGCAGTTTGTTCTTTCAAAATACTGTCCCCTTAACCTGGGACGTGAAATAGCGAAGTTTATATGGCGTTGATGCCTCGCAGCGCTGATACTCTTTCATGTACCAGCTGGACATATCCCTGTGGCGTTATTTAATCAAATAAAGTCGAGGGAGGCTAAGTAGGCCAATGAGGGCGAGAACATCGTGAATTTCCGACCTTTTGAGTGATCCACACCAGACTGACATATAAGTCGTTTATCAAGGCGACCGCTGAGTTCAACAAAAAGATTTATCGAGCCAGAAAGGCGCTGATGTAACGTTAGGCTGTATGTGCTCAAAGTAGTCTCAAGGTGTAACTCCTCCATGCATGTGCCATGTACAAACAGATATGCAACGATAAGCACTGAGACCCGTCCAGAAGCGCACAAACGCTTCTAATGTCTTCAACCTAGAACATGTCACCTACTATAGCCTTGCACCAACTGTGGGCTTCAGCATCTCAGGTCCTACTTGTATATAGACTATTATTTTGTTTACTGTGCATGTGGATTGGGAGGTAAAATGTGATATCTCTAGCCCACTAGTCTCGTAACAGTTATATCGTCCCCACTACATGTTCGTTTTCACGAGTCAGTCGTATTTTATCTGCCCAGGATAGGCAGACCACAACTCATTCCATGCAATTGGTTAATGAATTCTTTTCAAATAATGTCTATTTGTGCCGTCGAGATCCGAAGTTTTCCGGCCAATCCTCCATACATCATCGGTATGCTGCAAGTCACTGCCATATTACCGATTTCAAGTTGATTGCTTATCAGTCAGTAGTGTTGATCTGTATGCTACATACATCGAGTGCTTCTCAGGACGAGAGATAGATTAAATCCTACAACTAGCCGTATAGAACCAGCTGAGTTTTTAAGGGCCAGATACGTATGCAACCGGTCTTGGCTATATATCCGGTGGACAATCGTTTGAGACGTGACGACCAGAAGCCGAAGGGAATCGTGGAAAACCGGCGATATTTCTATATATAAAACAGCTGTTGTTCTTATGTCGACCGTAGGGAGAGATGATAAGCAATCATTCCAAAACTCGGATCAGTTTGTACCTCACACAAAAACTAGACCACCGCTGATACCAGAACGTTGGCTTCGCTGGAGTAATTGCTCCAGTGTTTGCTTGTGTTCGACGCTCAGCGTTCATTTCTAAGCCATTTCTAATGTAGGATCCTGCGAGACTTCAATAAGACATAACCGCTAGTGTTTGCTCTTGGGAAGCAGGCGAATGTATGCACACAATGCATTGCCCTGTATCAATTTTTAGTGACGATCAACACTGCATAGATTGCATAACACTTGTACAAAATTGAACGTACCAGTGTTTCTGGTATGCTATCTGACTCACTTTCCAGTGAAGATGAAACCAACAACCGGTTGTTTCTCGGTAATCCTAACATCGAAAGACCTAGCTACACATTGTGGGGCGCATGTTTTATTCAGTATCAGGGCACCGTCCTGACATAAGTCTTGTTTTCAAGGATCACCACGATACTACACTGAGATCCGGGGGAGTTCACGGTTTAACCGTTACCAGCTTAAAAGTACAGGTGCCTCGTTTATGATGTATCCAAGCAACTGAATTTGCTGCACCAGGCCGCCTCATGTTTCCGTTGGTAAAATTTGAGTTCAAGTAGAACATAAGGTTAACGGAAACTCGGGGACTACGCCTATCTGATGAGCCCTAAGAAGGGCGAAACCGGTCGTGGGCTGTCGAAGATTTTCAGAACCTATTGAGTAGTGTATTACTTAAGCGTAAGCGCCATTTCTTTTCACGCGAAAATAGCATGTGACCTAAACTAAGAATACTCTGATGGCCGAGTGGGCTACCCTGGTTCGACTGTACCAACGCTCAGCAGAAATCAGTTGGCTACTCATCAAACTATTCTTCCTTTCCGATTTTCGAATGAATGGAACCCAACTTTCAATGAGGAAATAACCGTAGTGGTGGCGGCTGTCCCAACTTGTTCTCTCAGCAGATTTCCCATATCGTAGTGAGACAGAACACTTGCTGTTGCGTAACGCTGGCTAGGTAGGTTAGTACCATTAATGATCCCGTTTGGTGTGATAGGACGACTGCGTAATGTTCCGATCCAGTTGTGCGAAGGTCAAACGACATCAGCGTCAGTACACCAGTCCCTTCAAAATGTATCCATTAACTTGACATCAGTTACTCGGATTATGTGGGGTCCCAGCCACAAGGCTGCCTAAAATAAACGGCTTATAACCAAGACTCGATAATTCTGCTAGCAAATACCAGAATAGCCAAAAGGTACTATTTTATTTACACATACATTTCACTTATAAACAGTCTAAAAGTAAAATGGTTTCCGGGTAATGAGGCGTCGGAAAACTGCTGACACGTGAATTCTGGGCAGCGGGCTAACATGATTTCATCAAACAGGCGCGAACATGATTAGGTCAAAAGGGAGGAGGCTAAACGAGTTGGCTGTACAAACGGGATTCGTCGCATTTGGGTCAGTCGTCGAGGACGAAACGTCTGCTGGATGTCTTTCGGCGCTTGGGTGGTCTGACCTTTTCGGAATCATCGTTATTTTTCTCATCACCACTGTCTTCTTCGAGCACAACAACCTCAAGTCCTTTATCATCGTCATCATCATCGTCCTCATCGCTTTTATTCAGCGTAGACTCGAATCGGTTCAACGCACGCTTGATGCTAGGACGCCGGTCTTTCGAGCCTTCAGAAGTGACAACTCGTTTTCCGGAGGACGATTTCGAACTCGATTGGTCGGACTGTCGTGAACTGCCGCTTGGACTGGAATTACGCGAGTTGCGTTTTTTACGGTTTCCTGAGGCAACTGACGGTTTTTCGTCCTCTTCATCCGAGGAATCAGAAGTTGAGCCGGTTGACGACATTGCTTCATTGTCTTCATTATCGGACTCAGCACCGGCACCATTATTGTTCTGATTCGCGGACGTCCGAGAGGATCGCTTTGTAGCGCTGCCTGCGACGGGCAACTGACGTCTTTCCGCCTATGGGTGAATTGATGCACAGTTAGACTTCGGGACAACTAAGGATAATATGATGTAGTACAACCTGGAAAAGCAATTTTCGAACTGATAAACATACAAAATTGGCTAGAATGAAGCGACACACGCTAGAGAACAACTGTTTTCCGTGGACCTCCATCAGACTGTCCGTCATGGAATATCTCACCCGAAACAAGGTCCCGGACTTTAATGCTGCCAGGTTCACACAGACGCGATCGGGGATTCGTGTCTTATACTCAGAGCGATCTCGGGTCTCTATATGCAGAGTGCGGTGGAAGAAAATCTATTGTGTGGATGTAAACGCTGGAAAGTAGATGATCGACGGAGACGGCATTACGCTGTGAAGAGTTAGTTGTGCAAGATAGGTAAGCAGGTTCGGAGGGATCTCAAACCTAATCGAGCTTTTTGTGCACGCCCTGGGGAAACTGATCTGCCTATCGCCCTTTATACTATTATACATGAAAATTGTTTTCTGTAAACGGTTGCCGTTTCACTGTTCACATACAGTGAGCGGATGAGAGCGCTGTGAGTGGGAAGCTAACGACCGTTACTCTAAAGAAACCAATCGGGTTAACAATAAAACAGCTTTGGCTTTACTGTACGCTATTGGACAATGATGGTGCACTGCAACCTACAATTTGATCTCGATCGAATGAAGTAACAACGCCAGAATCAAGTGTCTTTCTGAGCCACAAAGAAAAGCACGTTATGGAGTTTTATCCGGGCCACGTGAATAAAACCATGGCAATCATTCACCCCTCACATGATCGCATTTGTTTTCACAAGAACATGATTAGACCAGCGGACAGCTTAGCCACCCACCTTGGGTAAAATCTGTCCTGAATTGGGAGTTATGGGTGTATATTGTAACACGAATGATTATGTGTCGTATGTTGTTACCTAACGCTTAATTTCCAGAGACAATACGAACAAGGTAGCAATATATAATGCTGTTCACAGCTAAACTAGCTAGTAACAGTTTAGAGGGATAGATAGTCCAAGAGTACTTACCTCTGCAGCACGCCTTGAGTCCAAGTTTCGAAGACTATGACCTCCTTTGCTCCCCATTTGTACCGTTCGTCCGGAAAACGACAGCCTTTTTCCTGTATCTGACCCGATTGACGCCCCACTTAAACGATGCAGTGCATCGGGAGAAAGTGAGTCTTCAGATCCTTTTGAGGAACCTGTTGGAGCGCTTGGTTGATCTTCCGCCAAAGCCAAAAGGTCGGAGAAATGATCCTTTACACTCAGTGGCACTTTTCGAGAATTTGCCACGGACTGAAGTGCTAGTTGCACGTCCTCATCCTGAAGAACTGGGGGAAGGAGTACAAAAAAGTATGTGAATGTTTCTGAAAATTGAATAAAGCTTGATAACTAGGAACTGATTATCACGAAGGACCACAATACCCAGATGGATGAGAAAAGTAGCAATGCATAGAGTTGGGACGTCTGTCCAAATAGCACAAGGAGCAAGCTGAGCAGAGAAGGCACATGAGCACCTTGTAGATTGGATAACCGAGGAATTTAGACCTTCGGAATCAGTGGATGGCGTCGGTGAAACAGCTACTTCTTTCTATCCGCTTCCTTAAAACAGATAGAACACAAATATGATGGAATGCAAGCAGTTCCAATCTCAGGGAAGTCGTGCGCGCTCATTACCATTTCTATGATGGAAAGTGTTCGGAAATGCAAGAAATGCGATCAGAAAAAACGCGAAGCGAGGCAAATTCGCTGGGGTATCAAGATCCCGGATGAGAGCCTGCACAACTAATTCAACCATGTAGAATGTACCACCATTAAATTATACCAAACAGAAGAGGAATGCGCAGGAAAAAAAGCCGATTTGGCACGTTGAGGATGAGGAAGCAACCGTAAAAGAATCAGTAGAAACACCGCAGAATGTAGAGAAAGCGCGCACAGCAACAATACCATGAGAGAACAGCGTGCTGGTTGTCAACAATTGATGTGAATAAACGGCACAGTTGGCCCAAACAGGGTACTCACCTCCATACCGTTTAACTTTGTTAGGTTGGTGTATGCCTGTACAAAGAGCCATTTTGCATAGTAAGAAGAACTGCAAAAGTGAGGTTGTGAGACTTGTTTAATTGCATAGCTGGATAAAAAGTCTGTGGATTATGCGCTCCCTGAGAGAGTGAGTACTCTTCAACGCGACCAAGTTTCGCAGTCGCAGTACGGTAATGCGCACAGTAGTGGTGCAAACATGTCTCTCCAAGACATGTGATTGAACTTCCCAAGCACATGAACCAGTAAGTTTGTTTTAAAACTTCACTATCCAGTGTCCGAATTCCACGTCCATTACCGCGACATTTCGATTACCGGTCTGTTCAGTAGTACTGTGATACAGTGTTCACTACAGCCATTTCATCCAAGAACATATCTACCGCTTGATTACCCCATTCAGAGCGGCTTAACCTTTCAAGCACTTGCTCAATTTAAAAGTAGTAGTGTAATTCAGCCGTAACATCCTTTCGATGCCTAGCTGTCATGCCACCAGAAAGCACGAGGACTCAGGTGCCGTCAGTTTTCCCAAGCCTAGACAAGAGCAGTCGCGATGTAAGGGTGGGTTTCGAACCACGCATCCTCCGGTCAGCAAGTTCACGTCATAACCGCTGCGCTATCTCGAGTGCAGTTTACCATGTGTGGGAAAGCCGAGGGCAAAATGATATGTGGGACAACCCTGATAAAATCTACTGGAACAGAACAACTGAGATAGTCCGTTAGAACCACGGATTTCTGCTACCGTTACGTAAGCGTACTTAAACATTTGTCAGGTGTTTCAAAACTCGACGCGCATTCCCATCGTTCAACCTGATCAAATAACCGGAAGGTTGCATGTGTAGCTATTAAAAAACGTTTTCGGTTGCTGGAAGAAACGGTGCTACCTATCTCATGCAGTGTTGAGAATGAATGGCGAAAAGTCTAGGTATAAGACCACAATGCTGATCAACGATCCGTAGCTGAGTTGTAATGATCAGCTATTATGAGAGTTCGGAGATGCTTCTGAATTTTTAAATATGGATTTACACCACAATAACTCAACCTTTCAGAATTGTGGATCAGCACTCCGGCGCGACATCACGTCAGGTCTCTATTCTCTGGAAGTTAAGTTTCCTAGAAACCGAAGCTTGCTGTCAGCATCCTGATGTTGAGATTAGCTGACTGGGCCACCAACGGCCGTTATTTACATACACGGACTGGTTACTATGACCCATTGTGTTTAGGTTCCATTGCCATATGTATCCAATATATTCAGGTGTTCCTTTAAAAGTAGGCAACATAACTGTTGGCCAATTGTGTTCAGACCCAGTAATGCCGCAACAAGGTTTAGGTAGTTTAACACGACGTGACATGATATCACTAGTTTGTGGAACCTGCTCTCCACCATCGAAGCCAAACATCCGCTCCGGTATCTATACCACCTGTGATGCCCCTTGTAAGCGCTGATCATAGACATTTATTCCACTTGAGAGTGCTGAGTTAAGTTTATTCCACTTTGTAAAGACATAGGACATTAACGCTACAATGATAAAAGAATTATTGCTTCGCATACTCTTAATCTCTTCCTTCAGAAATAAATTTACTTGTCTCCTCCTACTTTTGTACGCATTGAAGCGCAGTAAACTTATACTCCCACAGGAACCTAGTAACCTAGATACGAACCATTGGAGCCGTGCGAAAACTGTTTCTAAAAGTGATGTACACGCAAACAGTTGGAGTTTCGTAATACGGCCGATCTGAGGCTGCAGGATGACAGGAGCCCTCGTATGTGCGAACTCGCCCGCTGGCTAAGTAGACTCAAGTTTCTCGAAACTTGCCAGCTTAGTGGCTCTGGCCACTTGGATTCCAGGGCAAAATTTATCAGTGTTCTCCTGTACATGATGAACTAAACACAAATCCCTTGCTGCGCAAAATAAAAATAATCCGAGTGAGGAGTGTAACCATACTCCACAATACCCGACCCCCACTGAAATTCCCAACAATTTAATAATCGGCTATTGGTTCAGGTGAATGAGTGGATGAAACCCAATAAATGAAAGAACTCACGCGATATGTTCCGGCAATTCTTCCTCATAGCATCCAGATGGGTCAAAATCAGCGGCAAATCAACACAATTTTCTGGAGAAAGGTGTCTGAAAGCAAAAAAAATAGAGAATTTTTGGGTGATTTCGGATCAAAAAGTTGTGTCTATACAATCCCCTTTTTATACCCAAGGCTTGCGAGCAAAATTCGGCTCAGTATTCTGACACACGGCTACGGAGCGGGAATTCGCTCATCATCCGGATTATTAACTGATCTGGTCGCTAACAACAAAATTCCGAAAAGGAAAAAGTATTGAATAGGTACCACCTGGTTCATATTGTTACTGGTGTCCATGTCATTCCTAGTAACACCAGTCCCACAACCGCTTTACAGAAACCATCTGACCAGTTCCCCATTCGTAAAGTCGAACATGTTACCATAATGTATAATTTTGTGAGCGAAAATGAATCAGGTTGTAACCTTTTGTGCAGTACTCAATCCGCTACTCCGGTCACTTATGGCACGCGTCGTCAAAGCATGTTGTCGAAGGATTTCGCTGCAACTTTATTGATACCAGACATGGATGGGATAGCAGAAAAGTGCCACTTGGCGTTAGTTAAGTTTTTACTGCATATTGAAAAAATGAGTACGACTGGCCCAACTGGGGATCGACCAAGTGGTCGGTGCAACGATAGCGAACGGACGTCGACATACCACGCACAATTAACTATGACAACTCGTATGAAGACGTCATCACTATTGGTATCATCATCAGAAACAGCAACAATATTAGCAGCAGCACACCGGTAATGTATACTGGTGTCTAATTCTGATAGCTAGCTTTAAAGCATCCATAGATGGGGTCGGTCAGAAGTGTAACTCGTTGCCTATATGTGTTTCGCAATACATAAACAAGCGCCCAAAAGGTGGACCAAGTGATTTGATCACCCGGAGACCAACAAAGATGTGCGCAACTTATGCATTCTATTCGTATAAAGGGATCCGTTCGACGCACGAGAAAAAAAAACAGAGTTACACGAATTCAGAATAACTTGTATTTCCAGGCCAAAATGGGTATCTGACCGTTCGTGGGGGCCTTCCTTGATATGTGAACTATCGAACCTGTTTGTTAAATTCCCATTCACACTCGATTCTCAGATGAGTAGCTTGTATACAGCACTGTTCTCATCAAAGTCGAGATGGAGAGAGATGATTTGGCTTTTTTGTAGTTATTACGAATTAAATTATCGAGTTTCCTCCGTTCAGAAAAAAATTTCCGTCATTTGACGCTTACTGTTCTACTGTCCTGCAAATTATTCTCGTTGCTGGCTTTTCCATCATTAGATCCATTAGATCGAATAATGTGAATGCAGCCATCGGTAACGAGTTGGTGTAATGGTAGGAATCTGTAGGTCTGACACGGAACGGCGTATTTCGCCCGCACTCAGGCAAGGTGATTTTTGAGACAACACCGTCACATCCATTATCCGCATAGTTATAGGTGTATCAAGTTTAGGTTTGGGAGTGAGTTACTTAACAAAATAGCACCAGTATCGTGTGCAACCCAAAATGCTACTAAGTCCCCTGCTGTTGATGCTCTTTCATTAAGTGAACGGTGAGCCCACTATTATGCATCTTTCAATCAACTTCCAGGGCGTAAAGCTCTGGTCTTTTCCTTATAAAACAGTAATGTGTTAGTAAAATATTTATACTAAAATAAGCGTTCTGTTCGATAAGATTGGGTTGCCAAGGGATCTACTTTTCAAAAGGGAAAGGTATCGCTGTTACTGCTGATACAAATGAATGGAAAATTGTCCTCACATATAAAACCTGACCAAATTTACGGAACACAGTACCAGTGTAACGGTGATACTACTGATGGGGAGGCACGCGAGTAGTATGTCTTGTTCGTAGAGTTTCGCTTTGCGTCTTTTGAAAAGGGGAGGTCTGTTGCGGAATTCCTGGAGTCACTCTGTAACATTTGCTTGGATTTGACCGAGGAAAGTTCAAGAAGACGCGTTCGAAGGAAGATGGGTGTCCAGATTTTGTAAATAAGATTCAAATTAGAGTTTTTCTTCCCTGTTCAATGGTCTGTAATCGGTCAGTTAGCATTTCCTAATCAATTACTCCGCCGCGAAGGCCTTCCTTTCAACAGCACTTATCAACAATCGTTGCTAAGTACAGAAGTCACTACTCTGCTGAATGACATAATTTTAATGGTTAGTGCAATGCCACCTCACTGTTCAGGACATTTTCAATGCAACCGAGCTCCCCAGAGTGGATCAGAGACACATTGACTGCAGAAAGAACTGCGATCTCAGCTGGGAAGTTCCGGTCAAACGTGAACAACTTACTTGGATCCACCATTCCTTCGTTTGTCACGTGCATCTCGTGCGGAAGTGCTGGAACCGACACCCTCAGCACGTTGAGACAGTGGCGTCATTATCATTGATTTCAAGATATTGGCGAAGCGAGACGCATGTTGATTATCCGGACAACTCCAGAAGTGAAGAGCTGTGACTGACAAAGCATCGTTAGGTCCCGGCCGCGACAACAAGGCTCGAACCAGTTCAAAACTAGGCCTGCAAGGATCAACGACAGAAAGTAATTATGCAAAGCATCAACGGAAAATCCAAATGTAGGATACGTGTAAGAATACGGAAGGGACAACAATGTTTGTCATGCGCATTATGCAGTACGTCGATTTGCGCCTGACTATTAGCACCGGAAATTAAAACATGCCCTGCATGTCCTGCTGAGTCAGAAAGCAGTCAAAGATAGTGGGCCTTCGGACCCTGGTGCCTGAGAATTATTCGGAAAAGAAGATGGACGAATAAAATCCCCAGTACATCAATTCGACAGCTGGTGTGGCGGCATACACTACTGGTGAGAGGTGGGAGTAATATCTGTCTATAGCGCCGCTCCCGCACCTTAGTGACAGCTGAGTTATGTTCATTGATGTCAAGCATTCAGAAGACGTCCAGAAAAAATGTATGAGAAAGTTGAGCTCTTGGTCCTGCATTTTCTGGATTTTCCGCCGTACATGACTCCGCATTCGTAGGCGCCTGATTTCACTGGTGCGCATCCAGAAATCGCCTGTACGTGTCGTCCAGCACAGGCTCCCAGTAGGGGCAGGCACCGCTAGCATGACAGTCAACTCAGGATGTGGCCCAGCACGGCCAAGTCAGATGTGGCTACGTTCTAATGATAACAACGCACACAAAAAGCTACGACATTTCTAAAGCTTACTTTTCCAACTTGAAAAGAAGTATCAGATTGGCCGTCGCTTCAGGATGTTCTGAAAGGAAAAGCGGTTAAAAAATAACATGAAACTTGAAGAAACGAACAGACACTGTACGAAATCCATCGCCACGACAGAAAGGGAGTTTCGGTGGAGTATCTTAATGCCCCAAAGACCGGCGGTAAAATGGTGCGTAGGAAATAAAGAAAGAAGGATGTAAGCTGGTATTCATTTTCAACTTACTTGCCGGCTCAACACATTTTACCAGAGGTAGGAAACTTCGTGTGGGAATTTCGTGCGCATTGATCAACTGCCAAAAGAAGAACTGTTCGATCGAATTCCATTGAAGACTGGCCTCTGAAAGAACGAATAAGTTTATGAAAGAGATGGAAGCAGAAACAAAAATGAAAAGACGTAATGAGAATGTTGAACACTTACTTAAAAGCGGTGATAAGTCGTCCGACTGAAACATGTTCATGTGACCACGGACAATTTCACAAATAAGCGTGTTACACATGCTCGGATCGAGCGTGCTTACGACCAAATGCATGAATCCAGCGTCATTCATAAGCTCAGACGCGAACTAAACCGAAAAGGAAATACCAAAGGAAACAGTGACCCAGATGGAAGAAAAAAGGAAGTTCTGTATCTGTTACTCAACATAGCCACACAAAACACGCGTAGACCTAGATAGACCCGTTATTCCATTAAAACAGCTACGTTAGGACGATTGTGGATTGCTCAAGAGCATCGCAATTGACCAAAGCCGATGTGTCATGTTCAGGTTAAAAGCCTCATCTATCGATTCGTGGTCGTATGCACCTTCCCTCAGTTCACCCACTTCCTCCCGGGGACTGTCTGGCAAAAAGCTATATTACACAACACCGCTCAGGTACGTCTCCCATTGCAGCTGAATTCCTAGGTATATCGAAGTCGACAACCTAGGCACGAGTTTCAGGATTTCCCACACCCCTTCAGCCTTTCCACACTCCCTCATCCCTTCACCCTCCATCCTGAGCCGTACCAACATTGTACAAAAATTTCCAGCTTGAGCTACTTTATCTGCCAGTAGCTTCATTCATCACAAACGCAAAATCATTCAGACCCTGAATCCCATCTCAGTGCGCAAGAGGCGCCTAAACTCCATCACGCACGGAGACAAGCTCCTCTTTTTGCACTTAGTTTTCCTGTTTAATGAACTCCCTTCAAATCGGTAAACCGTATGCTGAAAATTTAGCTCTATAGAAATCTGTAAAACCATTCTCGATTGGACTTGAACTGCGTGAAAGGGGCTTGAAGGACCTATACGGAGTACATAATAAGACGATAGTGTGGTAAACGTCTCTGAACTATGTGGTCTTGGTTAACTGCGTGGCCGTCGGTAAGAGTCCGCAAGACTAGTTCTGCATCAGTGCATACGCTAGTAAATCGGGTACATGGGATGAGATGCTGAAAGCTGATTGAAAAAGGGAACATGGTCCCTTCATCCGACCCAGGTGAAGGTGAGTATGGATGGATATGATTACCAGTTTTTGCTATGGACCGAGAGTTAGACATTTTCCAGAGAACAATACACAACAACTATTGTTTGATGACCCTCCAGCTGGAAGTATTCCTGTCAATAAACAGGTAACGCTGAATCAGGTATAGTATGTACTGATTCTTAGATGGATCCTGACATGGTATGTGAGCTTTCGCAAATTATCCCACCGTCCAGCGCGCAAAGCACTGCCCACGTACACCTTTTATGACTTCAGTGGATCTGCTAACAGCAGATTGAGGTAGTAGACAAATCTGTTTACCTGGGCAGCTGTATCAGTCCGTCCCG